GGCATTATTATAACGATGTAATAATGAACAATTGCTCGTTTTTGAGTGATTGTATTTATTTACAAGTCAATATTTGCTTTTATTTCACTTATTTTTAGTGCAATAATTGTTCAAGTTACTTAGCGTAAGATAATCGATTTACGAGTATAACGAGTAATTAATTTAAATACTGGGGTGCAAATTTTTAAAAATTAAATTTAAAAAATTGCTTGATTTCTGGTCTAGACAAGACGTTCGTATGTAGTTAATCACTAACTAAACTTTCCATATCTGGTCTCGATTTTCATCTATCTAACTCCATTCTCGAGATTAACGAAGAATGGACAGACAAACGAATGACAGTGGAAATCTATGATGAATTATAGATCTTCAATTTGGAAATTGCAGTCCAATAACTTACCATATTCCCTAATCGATTATGTTATTATCTACATATTCCTTATTATAATTAGTAAGGAATATTATAATTGATTATCATATTTGTTATTAAGTTCTGTTTATTAAAATTATTTTACACAATTAATTATATTCATTATTATAATCACGAAGAAGGTTTAAACTGTTGTTAATCACGATGATGATGGACAATATTATGCATACATAGCATAATTAGCATTATATTCACTGATCGATTGTCTTGTCATCAATTAGGGAATAAGTTACATATTCCTTAATTCTTCTCATTTTCATATTCCTTAATCGATTAGGTTATGTTATAATAATATTATTATATTCTCTAATTATCTTATCTTATCATCTATAAATTCTCTAATTAATTATCTTTTCATATACACGTTCTGTAAACAATTATCTTCATTGGCATCATGATTTCAATCAAGAGCAAGGGATTGTTCATGATGATGATCATGATCAAGAACAAGGGATTTGTTCATGATGATCATGATGTTCTTGATCATGATGATGATGATGATCAAGAGCAAGGGATTGTTCATGATGATGATGATCATGAGCAAGGGATTGTTCATGATGATGATCATGATCAAGAACAAGGGATTGTTCATGATGATGATGATCAAGAGCAAGGGATTGTTCATGATGATGAT